CCTGCTCAGGACTCCAGTCTCTGTTCTGGAAGTCCGTGTCCAGGTCTGGCCTGGACGGCAGCCACTGCAGAGCCTTAAAGCCCAGGAGACCCAGCACCAGGGAAGGAAGCCTGGGGAGGCCAGCTCACAGAGGTCGGTGCCGGGAACAGGGGTCCGTCCACGTGCAGCTGGACCCTGTGTTGCCGACCAGGGCCAGTGCCCCACGGAGTCCAGCCACGAGGAGCGCAGGATGGACAGGTGAGCTGCCCCCTCCACAGCAGTGGAGCCACGCCCAAAGCTCGGCCCTGGAGAGGATCCAACGAGAGACACCCTGGCCGGCCAGCGGGCGGTCATTGGCAAACGTCCCTGAGGGCCCAAGTTCCCGCTCAGGAATCCGCCGTCCATCTCTTCCTACAGCCTGGAAGCCACATCTCACTGAGTCCCCCGGTCACTGCGGAGACCCCCGAGCCCTGTCCACTCTCCACAGCCACCTCGTCACTGCCTGCCAACATCGTCAGCTGGTGTCCACCGGCTCAGGGCTGCCCCTCCAGGGACTGTGTCCCCCACTCCAGGGGACGCTGGGCAACATCGCAAGGCACTTTTGGTGTCTCAACTGGGGGTGGCCACTCAAATCCAGTGGGTCAAGGCCAGGGTGCTGCTGGACACCCTGTGGCGCTCAGGACAGAACCCACAGCCCAGCCGGGTCCAGACCAGAGGTCAACAGACCCAGGCTGGGAAACCTGCCCTCGGGACTCACCAGAGCCTCCGCCCGGTTCTCCAGAAATGCTGGAGGCCACAGGCCTTGACCTCGGTGTCCAACAGGGGAGCAGGCCGTCTGTGGGCTCCAGTGCCAGGAGGCCCACACAGAGGGGCACACACGCAGCTGGTGACGGCACCCCCAGGGCAGGCCGCCCACTCGCTCGTCCCCTGTCACGACCGGGCATTTCCTGCTGCCCACGCCACACCAGAGCCAGGACAGGCCCAGCCCCAAGGCCGGGAAATCGGGGGGCCACGACACGCTCCCAGAGTCCAGGCAAGACCAGGGACGCCGCAGCCTGTGTCCCCTGGACCCACCTCCAGTCTCCAGGTCATGGAAATTGGGATCCAGCCCTCGGTCCAGCAGCTTGGCCAGCTTCTCCACCGCCCGATGCTGAGTGTGGTCCATGAACTTCTTCAGGTTGGTCTGCGGAGGAGAGGAACAAAACAGACACGTCTCTGTCAGAAGACGTCCCCTCACAGCGGGGGACGCTCTGCCCCGGGGCACCGGTCTCTTCTGCCCAGGGCCACCGTGCCCAGTAGTGGAACCCCAGAGCCAAGCCCAGGGTGCAGGTGGCCCACACACCGTCCAGGCCCAGCCAAGTGTGGAAGACCCCTGTGGAGCCGTGGCCCTCCGGCTGTGTCCCTCCGGCGTCACCCGAGGAAGCCTGGGCCCCTGGGGAGGTGACCGGGTCACAGGGCGGAGCCTCCTTATGAAGAGACTCCAGGGAGCTCCCCGTCCCTTCCACAGGCGGCAGGCAGCCAGGGCTGCAGGACTGAACCTCGAGGTGCCCCAGGCACACGTCACTGGCACCCTGACTCGGTCACCCGTCCCCAGGGCCCCAGAGCCGCGAGAGGCCGTGAGTCAGCCAGGGCTCCGACAGCGTGGGACACGCCACGCCCTACAGAGGCCCAGCGCCAGGGACACTTCCAAATGCCACGCTCCTGGCCCTGCCCGGACCCCCGACTCCCTGACCCGGGCTGAGGCTCTACTCTGGCAGCACCGCACAGAAACAGGGCGGCCACTAGCTCAGGCCAGTCCCCTTCCAGGTCGGCAGGGGCCCAGGGGCAGGACAGCTCGCTGGGCCCCAGGTGAAGGGAGGTGTTCCCTCCTCACGTGGTCAGCAGGGTCCCTGGCCCCGCCTGGGTGGGACGGCCCATGCCCACCCCTGGCGGCCGCTCTGCCGGAGATCCATGGCTTCCGTGCCTCAGTGGACAGCCTGGCTGCTGGGTCCCCTCTGCTGACGGGACCAGCGCCTACCCCGACACACACAGGAGGGAGCAGTGGTGGCCTCCACCTGACACCCGGTCCCCTCGGCCTCTGCCACAGCTGGGCCCACCCGGAGGCCTCTGCACATCCCAGGACTCGGACTCACGCCCCCAAGTGTCACCCTGGTCTCCTCGGCTCCGCGCCCATCGACACTTGAGTTCAAAACACACTAAGCCCCCCAGGCCAGAGGGTGACGGGGTAAACCAGAGGGACAGAGACCCAGGGGAGGGCCGCCACCCAGTCCTGGGAACGCCAGGGCCCAGCAGGGAACGTTCCAGAGCCCGAGCGTCTGTGCTGTGCCAGAGGGTGGGTGGCCAGGACATGGAGGAGGACAGGAACGTGCCCAGGACAGGGAGCCAGGTGGAAGGGCGGCCACCGCACATCTGGACAATTTGAGCACCAAAGGGACACCAGCCCACAGACTGGAACCCGGTGAGCAGACCAGAGCCCCTCGATCCCCTGACGGAAATGGGGGGCCAACAGAAGTAAGAGGCGCTGCTCCCCTCCGCGCCCCGGGCCCCGGCCTCCAGGCAGCCTCCCGGGCTCCCACAGCATGCTGACCAGGAGCAGTGTCCACGGTGCCCACGTGGCGTCTGCCCAGCTGAGCAGCCCCTGGTCCCAGGAACCCACTGTCACTCAGCCAGGGACTGGGCCCTCAGGTCACCAGCTCCTTCCTCCCCTGCTGCTCACCTGAAAGTCCCCCCTGGTGTCTACCCATTAACCCAGGCGACAGCACTCAGCACAACCCCTCCCTCCCCCACGCTGCACACCAGACCCTCTTCCTCGGGGCTGCCCCTCCTGAGCCTCCGGGGACCACCCGGGACTTTGCTCTGCTTCCTGGTGGCCGGGTCTCTGGCAGGCCCCCCCACCCCGGCCCTGCTCACCACGTGGGGTGCCAGCGGGTGCCCAGGAATAGCAGAGGGTATGAGTGAGGGGTCCCCTACCTTGGTGTGGAGCTTGGCCAGCTGCTTCTCGTCCACCTCGGGCTGCTTGTACACGCGCTTCTTGTATCGAAACTGCACAGACAGGAGGAAGACAGTGCGCCCTTGTCACGGCCCCCGAGGCACGCGGCCCTGGCTGGCCAGAGGTCAATACAGTCCTGCCCAGGTGCTGCGGAGCCCAGGTGTCCCGAGCCAGCTCTCCCTGACCAGGCCCTGGCACCGCAGCAGATGTGGACGCTGCCTCGAAGCCTGGCTTGTCCACCTCCTCGCCTTTGGGGGAATGGGCACCCACAGCTGCCAAGGAACGGGCAGCACCCACAAGGTGGGCTCCAAAAACCCGGGCTGCGCGGGGTCTGAAGAAAGAGGCCCCGGGCCCCCAGGCCAGAGGGGGGACCTGCTGGCCTGCACCGGGACTCCCGCCCCCGGCACTGGATTCCTCGGGATGGACGTCCTGGTGTCCCGGACACCTGAGAAGCCTTCCCTGGTCCCCGTCTTCACCAGCACCTGGTCTACCCCTCCCAGTCCCTGACGGGGTTCCAGGTGACTCACTGCCATGTGCCTGATGCGGGTGGCCCCAGGGGTGCCACCCAGTGGGCACTTGTTCTAGCAAAGAGTCACACAGGAGGCCAACACAGCGTGTCAGCAGGAGGGTCAGCTCCCAAGGGGGACATGTGTTCCTAGGTCCACAAACACCCACAGCTGCGGCTGCGCGGCTCAGAACCCCGAGTCCCTGTCCTGCCGTGTTCCCGACCTTTGCCAAGCAGACAGCCAGCAGGGGCTGGGCCCAGCGTGGTCTCGGCTGTCCACCTGGAGGACCGTGGCTGGGGAGAAAGAGCCTCCGTGTCAGCAAGGACCTCATGGCAGAGCAGCGTGGGCACTGGCAGGGAGCCAGGCACCCAGGTGCCACTGTGCCAAGGGACAGTCACTGCTAACCACTGTGATGTCCTGGCTAGGATCCAAGGCTCAGAGAGGCTGGGTGAGTAGCCCAAGGTGGCCCAGCTTCTGTGACTGTGGCTACGTGGAAAGCAGACTTCCAGGTCTTCCCGCCTCTCCCTTGGTTTCACTGTGGTCACGGAAAGATCGGCCCCTGGGCGGAACCATACTGATCCACAGTACCTGGCCCATGTCCCTCCTCATGACAGACCTGGACATTCTGAAGACGCCCCTCTCACAGGATGACCCTGGGAGGGCAGCAGCTGAGTGCTGGGCCTTGCGCAGGCATCCTGGCCCTCACCCCCAGGCCCTCACCCCCAGGCCCTCACCCCCAGGCCCTGTCCTGCTCCCCCACATTAACAGGCGTCAAACCTCAGCCTCGGGGTCCTGAGGGGACCCAGGGACGTCCGTACCCATCCCTCAGAGTCACGGCTCTCCAACGGCCGGAGCGTCATCGAACCTGCTGGACGCCTCGGGTCCCGGCTGCAGCTCACACCCGGCCCTGGTGCCCAGCAGGCTGACAGCCGCCCACGGCCACACGCCGACCAGCATAGGGAGGCCACCCCGACTGGCCACGTGTGTGCTGCTGGGAACCTGGACAGGAACTCAGGGTGCCGCAGCTGGGTTCCGGGGCAGGATGGGGCTGTGCTGCCGCCACTCGGGAGCCACAGGAAGGAGGCCATACTTCTGGTCACAGCAGGACAGCCACTGTCCACCTCTTGACCACGAGAGGGAGACTGGACCACAAGCCTGATACAGCAGCATGGCTACCCACATACCTGGGTACCCACATGGCCGGCTACCCACGTGCCCGGCTACTCAGGTGCCCGGCTACCCAGGTGCCCGGCTACTCAGGTGCCCGGCTACCCACATGCCCGGCTACCCATGTGCCCGGGGCCTCCCGAGTGACAAGATCCCTGTGGTCATGCTAATGACATGACTCCTGACCCACAGCAGCAGATGGCACTGGCGGCCCAGAAGACCCAGTGTGGCGGGGGGTGGACTTACAGCCGCAGCCCTGACCTGGGGGGCGGGGGCTGGAGTGGAGCCCTCCCGCTCAGCCCGCCTCCGAAGGTCACTTCCACAGGTCCCTAAGCCGTGGGGCTTGGAGAGCCCGACTGGCAAAAATGTCCCCTGCTGGGAGGTGGCCACCCGGCTCCTGGGGGACAGGAGCTGCGGAGCTCGGGGCCCTTCCAGACCCGGCCCGGGTCCCCTCCACCGCTGGCCATCTGCGTCCTCCCTCATAAACCCTGGCTTCCTGAGGTCTGCAGGCCACCCCAGCTCATGGGTGAGCCGAGAGGACGTCCCGGGACCCCGAGGCAGGGCCACACCTGCCAGCAGTGTGGGAGCTGGGGACCCGACCCCCGTGGCTGGCGCCTGCAGTGGGGCAATCAGAGGGGCTGGCCCTGAGCCAGACTGACCACTGGGCAGCAGCTGGTGTCTGGAGGTGGGGCAGCCAAGAAGCCGTGCAGGTGGGTGCAGAGGAGAAAAGCCCCAGCACTCAAGCTGCCAGGGCCACCTTGCATCCCAGGACACAGGGGTCCTGGACACCAGCTTGGATGGAGTTCAGTACAGTGACCA